CTGAAATTTCTCTCATTACTGCTTGGCGGCAGAAATAGGTAAGGTGGCAGTACTTAAGTAAGTAAGGAGTAGTAAGGAGCCCTACTGCTACTAGAAAAAAAAAAACGTAAATGGGAATTTAAACAGTTTACATATTTACATCAAGCCTGTCTCCCATCGGGGTAGGCAGAGACTATGGACCTCCATCTGCTACGCTCCTATAATTTAAACCTTTTGGTCGTCAAATTGTAGGTATGTATAGTAGGAAGCAAACGAGCAGACGAGTCAATTGATGGAAGGTGGTCATCGTTGCCCATGGACATATACAACATCAGATGAGCTGTATATGCGTTGCCAGCTTTTCAGAACCCTGTTGATACGTTTTTTGAAGAACCTCACGTCATAGCGTAAATGATATTCTTCAGGAGGGATACTATTCCACATCTTCCAGGAGCAAGGAAAGAACAAACGTGATCCCTGCGTGGTCTTATAATGTCAAATATTAATGATATGCAGAAGCCGGGAAGTGCGATGTCGGAAACGTGACGGTGGCACCAGTTAGAAAACTACCTCTGAACACTCCCTATTATAAAGAGATTAGGAAACATATAGTCGTGTTGAATCGGAATACTGGCATGTTGTAAACGGGTTCAATAATAACTGTTGAATGACCATAACTATATAGGCGTTAGACTATGTCTAAACTCTATCCTTGAAGAACACTCGTACCCTATGTTGGACGAATATCATTCTCGGTACTCTTCTTCCATCATAAGTTTTACAATACATTTTACAAAAGACAATTGTATAAAACAAATTTGTATCTCCAAATATGTAGCCACGTTAAGGCGAGAGACGCTGGTTTTAGACCTAGCGGATAGAAGAATTTTTTCGTTTATTCTATCATTGTATCAATAATAATAACAATCTTACTGAAGTAATATCACGAATACATTTAAGAATATCTAATAGGTAGTAAACACATGGCATTCAACAAAAATAATATGACTGTACAAAGCTTACAAATAAGTCAATATAACCTAGAACTCAAGTCCTAACTTCAATTGAACTGCGGTAAAAGGAAACAGTTGCTCTCGTATACTCTACCTATACACACGTACATTTAATCCCAGTAATGCGTTTTCATATTGCTATGTGCGGTTGTTATTCATGACTTGTATGGGCTATAGAAATATAAACTGATGGTTTATAGCAGCTGTTAGCTCTTTTTGATATAAGAAATTGTAGATGGATCATTTTTTGATAATTTATTTGACCACCCTTTTTTATTTTACAACAGGAGGACGATTTACGGTGGCTTTTCAATTGCGAAATCTACGTTCGAATCCTTGTATCACCATGCACAGATTATGATGGTGATATGACTTCTGATTTGTAGGTTACGTACATTTCGGAACGTTTAGCAACTTTTATAAAGTAGCTCGAGTGAGACGGACGTTTTACGTAACGTAATGAACCCTGCGCGCCGAAGGCGGTTCACAGCCTTTGAAAAACTGGAATCTCCAACCCGCATTGAGCCAGCAAGGCGGACCACGGCCATGGATGTAAAGTGAGAACGAATCGTAAGCCTATGTTGACACTTTTTGCTTTGAATTGATTTTTTGGATCGTAGTGGATCACAGATCGGATCGTGTGCTCTTGGATCGATCTCATAAAAATCGTTTTAATTTCAATAAAAAAAAAAATTACAGCCTTTTTGGCTTCAATCGGATACGACTTTCATTTACAATAATTTTTTTTTTATACATTTATTTCAGGCCACATGACCCATATAATATATACCTTAAGGACATACATACAATATAAATTAACAATTAAATAAACTAAACTACTAATCTACACGTATTGCACTTGTCGGCGACGTGTGGCGCAATCTGGTGTCAGGTAACCGGCCGCGGAATCGCCGATACATGACACCCTTCGGCCAAAACTCCTCCTTCGTGAAGGCCGAAAGATGTTCGGTCGGCACTCTCACCACAAACGATTTAAAACTTAAGTTGTGGCAGGACTCCAACCGCTCGACCCTCAGGGTGTATTTGACTTTTAGCCTGATGTACTCCACTATCTCCTCAGATTTCGTGGAGTAATGCAGTCGCGACAAGTACAGCAGCGTCGTCGGTGTTGCCGAATAGAGCAAAAAGTTCATCCTGTCGGTGCTGTGCCACACAGGTTACGGCTGGTGGGCTTCCTCTTCCTCTTCACCACCTTTGTGAAGCCGTTTTCGTCGCATTGATACGTCTGCCTCTGTGGTTTTGCAATTTCGGAGGCAGGCACACGGGGCATACTTTTACTCTTAGCCGATTGCCGCCTCTCAAGTTTCGAAGTGGCGGGTCGGCTGATAGAAGCGTAACGTTTCCGCCGGGGCGGAGGCGCAGGCAGCAGGGCGCGGCGCATCGCACGCGACGGCAACAGCGATCGGTAACGCAACCATTTGTGCCGACTCGACACTGCTGATGGATGCATTTTGCGCCCCACGACGCGTGTTTAGTCTCTAAAGACTTCTGATGACCTACATACCGTAGCAGTGGTGCGAGTTCTCATTTTATTTATTTATTTATTTTATTTTTTATTTATTTTTGTTCAAAAGGCCAAGAATTGACTTCTTCCTCTCTTACCTTGTCGACAAAGGAGAAATAAAATTTCCGTGGAATGTAAGGTAAGTAATCAGAAGAACATAAATGACGAAAAATAGAGTAAAGTAACTAACATAAGTTTAAAGTAACTAACTTATTTTTCACGGAACCAAGTTAAACTTCACTTTAAACGCTCTAAAGGCAATAGTGTTCCTGATAAAAGATTTACAAAAATACTTTTAAACCATTCATTCACTACACAAAATATTAAACTTTTGAATAAGTTATGACATAGTTTTGCATTATCATGATAGCACTGTTACAAAAATTATGAAAGCATGCTCTGTTTCGCGTAACATTATCAACGGAGCACACCAAGAAGAGCCTCCCAAAGATTCTACGAGGCAAATTCCTGCAACAACAGCTCTGAAATCATACCAGTTCGAGTTAGAAAGAGGCCACAATCAAAGGGCAATAATAATACTGAGGTTA